TCATGAATATCAGCAAAGAGGACGAAGCGACTTACTTCTGTTTCTATGGATCACAATTTTCACATCGTTTTGGTGATGGCGTCTTCTTGGCTGTGAAAGGTAAAATATATTTAACTTGCAGCGTTGGCGCCACATTTGATGTCAGACAAACACTTGAGATTTGAATTCCTTTGGATGTTTCCCTGAATCGTGCAGATGGAAGTCTGCAGAAATCCTTCCACGTGGAACAAAGTCCGGAGGCTGAGTCCGTCCTGCCGGGCGACTCGGTGACCCTCCAGTGTTCTCTTGTCTCCAGGGACAAAGAGGACGGGGTCCAGTGTCCACACGGACACAGGGTGTTCTGGTTCAGATCAGGAGGATCCCATCCAGGCTTCATGTACACTCAGGATACACAACCGGGGGACACAAGTTGTGTCTATCGTCTGTCCAAAAGGATCTGGAACTCCTCTGATGCTGGGACTTACCGCTGTGCCGTGGCCTCATGCGGACAGATCCTGTTTGGTGGAGGAACCAAAGTGGACACAAGTACGTTTTAAAGTCTCCCGTCTTAAATAAAGAATCACTCAGTACGATTTAAACTTTAATGCTAGGAAGAAAAATAAATGAATAAATGCAGGTTTGAACAATGTTTGGTCATTTACCAGCCGTGTGGCTTACAGGAAATAATCAGGAATCAGGAAACATTTATTGCCAAAATATGTCAAACATACAAGGAATTAGTCTTGGCGGTTGGTGCGTGACAGACAGTGTGACAATAGACAACAAGACAACAGTGCACAAGTAATAAAATAAAGTAAAGTGAAATGCTAATGCAATGGGTTAGTATAAAACAAGGGAATAAAGTTAAAGTTAAAAAACTTAAAATATTAACAAAGTTTAAATATTAGGCATGAAGTGCACTAGCGAACAAGTAACAAAGTGACGACAAAGTGATAAATGACAGTTAAAGTGACGTGTGCAGTGTGAAGATGAGTGACTGGTGGGATGTTATAGTCAGTCAGTGGGGGACCGGCTCTGTTGATGAGCCCGACTGCCGACGGGAAGAAACTGTTGGTGTGGCGGGAGGTCTTAGTCCTGATGGACCTCAGCCTCCTGCCACATGGAAGGGGCACAAACAGGTTCTGTCCGGGGTGAGAGGGGTCGGCTACCATCTTTTTAGCTTTAAAGAGATCGAAGTGTCCATACAGATTGATTTGAGCATTTGTGTGTTAAACCCTGTGTTGTAGGGTTGTATTGTGCTGTATGTGATTCTGTGTTCTGTTTGTTTCAGACGGGTTCTGGTCCTTTGGTGACGTATTTCTGGGTTCTGTCGTGGTTCTTAGTTTGAATGTTGCAGCCGTCCTCATTTACGTCATCAAGACAAATAAGTGTGATTATTGCAATAATGAAGGTAAGAAGCTTCCTGTCACTCATTAATTAGCTCTTATTATCATAATTATCACTCTAACAACAGTTTATTATGTATCTCATGTTTAGCGGCTGCTTCTCTGCTAGAAAATGTTCCAAAGGGGAATTTCAAGGTAAGATCAATTCATCAGATGAACATATGATGTATATTGATCAGTATTCATCCATTTAAGTGATATACAATCCGTTTGCTCAGAGGAATGAAGACGCGTGGACTTATTCTACTGCCGTCTTCACCGTGATGAAGTCAGGTGGCACGGAGGCGCGCAGAGGGAGCGCAGAGGGAGAACATCCACGCTGCTGCCAAGGCCTCCGGGTCGGATTAGCATGTTTCCTGGACTCAGTGAGATCAGCTGG